TAGCAGTGGGTAATGGGCATAAATCAGCTACCAGACTTCTTGACCCTCTGCAAGAAACATGCACTTGGGGAAGGATTTGAGCAAAGGTAGATTTTCCTGCTTCTAACATGCCAGGGTGAGAGCCATTGAAGAGGAGAGGACAAATCAGTGCTCTCAGGTTTTATTTCTCAGTGTCCCATGAGTGTAAGGAACTGAAGCACATCAGGGTCCCTTAAAGTGGCTATGCCATGCTACCTTCCCTTCTCTGTGATGCTAGATGCCAGGCCAACAGGCTGGTGAGCCATGGCAGGAACAGGGGATGCTGGCGCAGCAGGGAGCAGGGCAGATGCACCTGAAGAGCTGTGCAAGGAGGGAGACAACCTTGCAAGGTTATGCTACATTCATGAAACCTGACAGGCCCTGACAAACAAGTTTTTACACCCTTTGAAAGTCTCCTCTGGTGACTGAACCATTGAAGATGCTGTTTTCCAAACCTAGTTCTGCAACCACATGGGTAAAAGCTTACATGAATCTGCACTCACATAATCCCTTGATTCCAGGAGCTCAGGGCTTATGAAAACTGTCACCCAGTTCATCAGAGATGGACATGCAGCAAACCAAACATAAGCAGAAATGAGAAAGACATCAGCAGCTTCAGCTCAAAGATCCCTCATCCCCAGGACTGCTTGTCTATAAATCCATCCATCCCTGTAGGGTGAACTGCAGCACCTGGCCATGACTTTGGTACAGAAAAGATCTCCTCCTTCCACAAAGCAGGAGGAACTTTAAAAAGAAGGACTTTAGAGCCTTAATTACATCCAGTGGTGGGAATTCCAGACCTGCCTTAGCAGCTTATCCTCTTGTCAAACATCTTGCAACAGCCCAAATCCCCAGGGGACATCCATGTTCCCTTCCCCTACAGAGGGTCTGTTCCTCCCCACACCAAAGAAAAACCCTGGGCCTCTGTGGTTTACCCAGGCCCTCCAAGAAAGCCATCACACCACTCCTTGGGCTGCATCACTTCACTCCCACCACCACCATGTCTTTGGGCAGGAGCACCCACGCAGGAGGGCGTGTTCTGGCCCATCCCCATGAGGTCTGGTGCACAGCACATGTTTCCAGGGGTGTTGCGCACTGCAGCTCTGCCTGTAGGTATTCTCCTGGGTGCTCCTGTGTATCAAGCCCACCAAGAGCCACCAAGCCCCGCACGTCCTGGATATTACTTAGCAGGTCCCGCATTGCCATAATCCCAAGCCAGACAGCTCCTGCTCTCTCACCACACTGAACAGAATTATTTCCATTAACTGTTCACACCACAGAGCTTGTATTTTCCAGTGCTTTATTCACCCCTTGAGCCCAAACTCATACAGCAGGCAAAAAAGTAAGGAAGTCTGTGTCCCAGCCAGCAAAGGCTGCATAGGACAGACAGCAGAGACCAGGGCAGGGGCTGTGGGCTTGGATGGGTCAGTGGGCACCAAAAGTGAGGCACATCACATCTCTTCTTGCATGGGCCCAGAGAGGACAGAGGACAAAGAGACTTTCTACAAATTACACCACATCAGGAGCACTGTCTGCGTCTAATTCAAGCAAAGCCAGGCTAAGGTGGGAGACAGCGAAAGACCTCACTTGTGTCAATGAACCTACCCAACATAGCCTACCCACAGAGAAGTGTCGCATACTTATTACACAGCAGGGAAGGCAATTGCTTTACTTAAATAAAGAGCCGTATATTTATTTGCATTGTAATCACAAGGTTTTGTAAGTGCATTGAAGTAACACTGTATCCAATTGCCTGTGCTGATTTTCCCAGTCATCTCTGAAATGCTGTTTTATTGCTTACAGCAAGGCATGCAGAGCAATGCACTTAGTTATTATTGCAGCTGAACCATACTGAATTTTTATGCACTGAGTTGTTTACATTTAACTGCTCACTGGTTAATTAGTTGTAATAAAGAACAACCTAGTTTGCTGTGTTGGTGGAATGGGGAGTCCTGTCAGAGAAGAACATAATGGAAATCAGGACTTTCTTGCCTATGCACTGCAGGCTTTCTGCAAAATTTTTCTGAAACTTTATTTAATGAACTTTGGATTGCTCAACAGCTATATGTTGTCATGGGAGGCAATGTGGGGGCAAAGGCAACAGTCCCAGACCCACAGGTACTAAGTGTGTCTACAAGTCAAAGTTGGGGATTCCTCTATTAAAAAGTTTGACCTTTTTCCATGAGTCCATGGGGCTGAAAGCAGTGAATATCATTCACTAGGGAAGCTCTCAGTTTGACTGCAGAGATGTGACCTCCCTGAGATCAGGAGGGGCAATGTTGTGGGCTTCTGGGAAGTTGAAAGACCTCTAGGCAACACAGACACATGATAGAAAAATGGGCTTTGACAAATGGTATATTGGTACACCAGTGGATGCCATGGGATAAACTAGAAACGGAGTGAAAGGGATTCAGTTAATGGAAAGTGTAGCAAAAGGACTAAAGCTTTGGCTTTACTTCCTTGATATTTTTAACAGCCATTTCTTGCATAGATGGACTAACATACCTTCAGCAGGGCAATCACAGTTTCTTTCTCCAGCTTCACCACGGATGACATTTTCCCCTTTCATTTTCCATTAGTTCAGTGGGAAAAGCAAAACTTAATCTCTTCTTTTAAAGTTCTTTAAGAGCCAGGGACAAAATGCATCATACAAGAATCAACATGCAGATGATGACATTTGTTCCCTGGGAACGAATAGTTAGTTGACAGCTCATCGGTAAAACATTAGGTCAGAGACAGAGAAACCCCAGGTTCTCCTATATCCAGAACAGGTCATAATAGAAACAGCAACATATCAAAGTGGAGTAGCAAAAGAACTGTGGAAACTCAGAGATGATGCAGGATGACAGTGACTTCCTGGTGCCTTGGTCCATCTGTCAGCCGTGTTACTCCTGACCCACACTGATCTAGGAGAGCCAGACAGCTGCAGTCAGAAAAGACCAGCTCTATGCTGTGTTTGGCCCAGCCACATGTTTCTGTCATTTAGCCTAAAGATAGGTAGTGAAAATACTAAGGAGCTCAAAACACAGCGAGCTAACCTGATCCCTAGGCAGTAAGTGGCTTCCCAGATCTCAGCTGTGTCCCTGAATTTTTCCAGCTGCCCTTCTGCCTTTGAATATACCATGTGACTTGTCCCTTGTGCATTCAGCTTCCCAAAAGACTTATTTGCTATCCAAGTGAATATGTTTAGAGCATAAGATCATGGGCTGTGCATGCAGAGCCCAGTCAGGTTGCATCATCTCCAAACCCTCAGCCTGCTACTTCTCCCAATTCATGCCCTAGTACCTTAAAATAATTGTACTTCCAGTGATTGTAGCAGCAGCCACAGGGAGCCACATACCAAGCAAATATGATTGCCTTGCAACCTGACAGACTTGCAGACAACTGACTGAAAAGCTTAAGGGGCTTGTGGGACCTGCCTGGGGGTAGGCTTCCCTAGCTCTCTGGACAACAGCAGCCTCCATTGAACACTCTTCCCCTTCAATACCTTCAACTGTGCTTGTTGAAACAGTGCTGCTCCTTCTTGCTGGGGGCTTTGGGTAAAACAAACCACCAGCTTTTTATAGGGGAGCCTGTTCAACACTAGAGATGCAATGAATTAGGGACGACTGTTGTCAGCCCACACGCTGTGTGGCTTCCCAGCTCTGCTGACACTCCTGCCTACGCTCCAGACAGCGCTCTGAACAAACGGCTCAGCCTGAGCCTGCACTGGACTAAGACTAGGAGGTGATTCACAGGCCCCTCTCGGCCACCCTGTCCCTTTCACACCTTAAGTCCATGCTCCTCTGTGACAACCCCAGCTGCTCTTCTCCAGCCCCCTCCTGCTTGCAGCATCTCTCCCATGTCGGTGTAGTGTGTAGGCAGGGCCATAAGATCACAAGAGCCATCAGCCCTGGGTGGCTACACTGCAGGCCCCTGGATGATTTCTAGTGGCAAACATGGGGAGCACCCCACCTCATTCCAGTGACCAGTCATTTCCCCTCAGCCCCTAACCTGCAGAGCCCGGAGGAGGTCTAAGCACTTGCAAGAGGCATAAAATCAGCTGTGGACACTGCAACAATGTGAGCGTTACCCGGCCTGGAGAATTCTCCCATGAAGTCAGGCTGTCAGTACAGAGGACACAGAGACCAAGGGGCATTGCACACATGCTGGCAGGCACTTGAGAATAGGATGGCACTCCTATCCCTCGTCTCACACTGGTAGCTCCTGCCACAGGTGCAGCAGGGAGCAAAGCTCAGTGCCTTGCTCTCTCTTACTAACAGCATAGTCCTTTTGATACAAAGCTGTAACCCACCAGCCCAGGGACTGCCAGAGCAAGCCATGCTGCCAGGGACTTCCAGGGTGTACAAGCGTGGCTCTTCACAATCCCCAGGCTGTCATACTTGTCTTATGTCTGGTAACTGCTCTGAGTGCTGCAGCTGAGCCTCCAACATGCAAGTGGGCCACCCCCAAACTGAGCACAAGCAGCACCCAGAACTCTTGAGATCCTTAAAGATTCTCCTTTGCTTCAGTGGGCAGACACTGCCTCTAATCACAGCTTTTCTGCATTTGTAACAGGGAAAAGCACTGTGAGACTCCCAGAGAGAAAAAGAGTGAAAAGCCACAGTCAGCCATGAGAGCAGCTGCAGCTTTTTAAACTGATGAGTTACACATGGAGCAGAGTGACTGGAACCAAGGAGGCTTGAGAAACAACACGCACGTAAACCAGCCCCGAGCCGGCGTTCCAACGGCTTCACACTCACCCGAGCTGCTCCTCTGGCTCATCGGCACTCAGAGCTTCTGAGGATCCCAGGATGCCACACCACCGCTCCTTGCTGAGGGCCCCGCTCGGTATCTCCTGGCTGGGGGAGCCACTCTCCCCCGAATCCGTGCTGCCTCGGCTCGGCACGCCGCCGTCCCGCTGCCGCGGCGGTGTCCGCTCCCGCC